ATAACCGCTGAGCCTACACAACGAACAATAACATGATAACAATGGATCTATGGACCGTCGGGTCTATAGAGAACGGTTTCTTATACACCCGACCGTCGGGCCAATAATCACTTCCAGCGGCGAGTGCGAGAGTTGATCACGTGTCGCACATGCTCGCGCGCGCAGTTCGCGACTCTGTCAACAGTGTAGCCAACACCATGCTTGCGGTCCCGTGTGACGCGGCCACGGAGAACCCTAGTCACACGACGAGCGACAGCGAAGGTGTGTCAATAAACAATATGTCGTATAATCGTCGGTGGCAGGTCGAAGCTCACGCGGTGACGTCATCAAAGATGGCGCCGCTGAACTTTCGGTTAGGGGGTAGCTATGCTTAAATAACACGTTAAATAACATTTATTATTATTATTATTATTATTATTATTATAAACACTACGGTGGCGCCGCGACTCTTGCAGCGGCAAGATGCGCGCATCATCGTCGGCCTGTTCTACGACGAGACGGCGACGCGTGTCTTCTGCGAGGTATACAGGAACGACCTGTACGGCAAGAAATACGTCTGGTTCATCCTCGGCTGGTACGAAAACGACTGGTACACGAAGGTAAGCCCGCCTCCACGGGGCTTTCCCACTGTTACAGTTACCGTTACAGCCCTATCACTGTTACTCCTGTGGAGGACTTAACTTGTTAACACTGTTACTTCTGGACTGTAACATCTCATCGTTGTCCATGTAGCTTTGCTATCGTTACAGTTCCTTGTTTTGCATGAAGTATATTCGTTATGCATGAGGTCGTGGAGGTTCACTCGTCCGACATGCGGTGACAGTTGACCTATCCGCCTGAGTGATTGACAGGTAGCTGTTAGCCAATCGGCGTTGTGATATGGGTGTTCAAAAAACGCAGATTAGCAACGAAGTGTCGCAAAGTTGAGAATTCTGCGGGTCCGCATGAAAACCGCGTATGAACTCGGTTTGATGCACCTAGTAACAATATCCAAGGTGGAAGTGGTTATATCCTGCTCAGACGGATGAGTTAATTAAAATACATACATCACTACAGTATTACATACAGTATTACACATACATATTAAAATAATGCAAAGGTTTCATTATCTACGTGTCTGCGTTGTTCAGATGTACGTCTGCCCTGTCTAATAATCGATTTTTAGTCAATCTAGTCAGTATCGTTTTAGTCCAGTATGTTTTAAACAATCTCAGTACGTTATCTCAGTACAGCTTGACAAAGACAGCGGATCGGCTGCCGAAACTGTCTCCGCAGTAAATAAATTATCTCGAAATTAAAAGTTCTCCTACTCGTAGCGTGTATGCACCTACCCTAGAACTCGGTTCGACTGTGACAATGGCGATTAATGGTCAGAGCGCGCTCCGCGTCTCAGGGTATCTAGCTGTCTGTAGCGGATGCTGTGCACGTCACTCGGTGACGTGATTACGTCACTGACATCGTGATAGTCATCACCGTCAGGTGCCAGCAGTTAATCTACACGTGTAATCTCGACACGTTCAGACGAAATTCACTTTCTCTCTCTGATACATCATGTCTCTCTATGTGATCCGTCTATGTGCTATTCGCTGTTACGAACAACTCAACTCGTTTCCACACTGATTATCGACTGATAAATTTAGCAATAGTTTTAGAGAGATTGATTCGCTCCGTGGTCGTCATTATTGCTATCGCTGCTTCTGGGTTATCGCCATCGTTAGAGAACGATACAGTTAGCCGGCTGCGTGGTGGTGAATCGAAACTATAGCGGTGCATATAATAGCGGGTGCGTTCGGTAAAATTTCACTCGTGTTTTAAACGAATATATGCGCGCTGTAACTGTTACAGGTCGTTAGCCATGCATAGAGGCACGCACTCGAACAGACGGAATTCAATAGTGAAGGCGATTAATTGCGTCGGCAAATTCATGCGCGGAGAATTGAATAGTTCTGTGTCAGAGCTCGCACCGTTCTTCACGGTTTACCACTATAAAATTAATGACGGCCATTTTTGAACAACAAATTGGCGCTAATATAATCCCTTTAAAAGGGCACATTTCGTTGTGTGCACTTCTTATTTTAATTAGTACCTGTCATTGTACACGATAAAATTTAGAGTGGCCATCTTGAACAAATTGGCGCCAATCCATTTAAAAGGTAATTTTGTTGGGTCTACCTCTTATTCGAATTAGTACCTACCTGTCATGGTACACACTAAAATTTAGAGTGGCCATCTTGAACAGATCGGCGCCAATCCAGTCTAACAAGGTGAATCCCGTTGGGATCCACTTCATATTTTATTTAGCACTTGTCATGGCACGTACGCGCGTGTTTGCTGTTTTTATCACGATTTGTTAAGAGGCTCGTCTACTACAAGCCTAATAATAATAAATTACTGCTGCTCCCGCTCCCGCTGCTGCTGCCGCCGCCGCCGCCGCTGCTGCTCCCGCTGCTGCCGCCGCCGCCGCCGCCGCCGCCGCTGGTCCCGCTGCTGCCGCCGCTGCTGCTGCTGCTGCTGCTGCTCTCGCTGCTGCCGCCGCCGCCGCCGCTGCTGCTGCTGCTACTGCTGCCGCCGCTGTTGTTGCTGCGACTACTGCTAATACACATGTGTTCGTGCTACTACTACTATCGGTGCTGCTGCTGCTGCTGCTGCTGCTGCTGCTGCTGCTGCTGTTGCTGCCGCCGCTGTTGCTGCTGCGACTACTGCTAATACACATGTGTTCGTGCTACTACTACTATCTGTGCTGCTGTGTTTCAGACCGTGGAGGATCTTGAACATAGACTGAAGGAAGCGCACATGGAGATCGGCACCCGACAGAGCTTCGTCTCTGATCCCACAGACGCCGTGAAGAATCTAAAGGTATCCGCTTCAAACTTCGCTTTTCTAGCTCATTAAGAAATGTAATTATATTTAATAATAGTGAGTTCACTCATTACTTTACTAATTACTCGATATTAGGCGGTTTCCCTCATGATTAACCCGCGGTCGATGCTTAGTCCCGTTTACAAATCGGATGCTACAATCAGTTTAGTTATTTTATTAGTGCGTGCGTGTGTGCGCGTGTGTGTGTGTGTGTGTGTGTGTGTGCGTGCGTGTGCGTGCGTGTGTGCGTGTGTGCGTGCGTATGCGTGCGTTCGTGCGTGCGTGTGTGTGTGTACGCGCGCGCGCGAATGTGTGTATGGGGGGTTGCTGCTGCTGCTACTACTACTGCTGCGAGTGCATGGTCTAGATTTTATCGCACAGCGGCACTGTTTGGCATTACATTACAAAACATGTGCGCCACACTGCGCTCTCTCAACCACGAACGATTATCTGATGAAGACAGATCGGGTGTGTGTGTGTGTGTGAAGGCATGCGTCCTTGAAGCGAGACTCTCAAGTTCATCGCTCTGGCCAATAATCACTCGCCGGGTCTGTAGGGGGAATTCCCTCATTAAACATGCAAACCAAAGCGTGTGTGTGTGTGTGTGTGAGAGAGAGAGAGAGAGAGAGAGAGAGAGAGAGAGAGAGAGAGCGTGCGTTGCGTGTGTGTGTGTGTGTGTGTGTGTGTGTGTGTGTGTTGTGTGTGTGCGGGCGCGTGTGCGTGTGTGTGTGTGTGTGTGCGTGTGTGTGTGTGTGTGTGTGTGTGCGTGGCGTGTGTGTGTGTGTATGTGGGTGTGTGTGTGTGTGTGTGTAGGGGGGGGGGGGGACGTGGTGTGGGGTGTGTGTGTGTTGTGTGGTGTTGTGATTGTTGTGTGTGTGTGTGTGTGTGTCTGTGTGTGTGTGTGTGTGTGGTGTGTGTGTGTGTGTGTGTGTGATGTGTGTGTGTGTGTGTCTTCTTGCATTATCATTATTTATAGCATAAAAAGTCATAATAATTATTAAATAAAAGTTTATTATTATTAGTTATTATTAATTATTATTTATAAAATCACTAGCTGGGCCGCGACTCTTGCAGGCGGCAAAGATGGCGGCAATCATCGTCGCGCTGTTTACCACGAAGAACTGTGCACGCGTGGTCTTCTTGCGAGGTAATACAGGAAACGACGCTGTTAAGTGCAAAGAATTAGGTCTGGTTCTCTCGCTGGTACGAAAACGTACTGGTAAGCGAGGTAAGGCCGCTACCGGGCTTTCCCACTGTTACAGTTACTGTGGTACACGCCTACAGCAGGAACTCTGTTAACACTGTTACTTCTGGACTGTAACATCTCATGCGTTGTCATGAGGCTTTGTATCGTTAAGGTTTCCTTGTTTGCATGAAGTATATTCGTTATGCATGAGGTCGTGGAGGTTCACTCGCCGCGTGCGTGCGACAGGTGGTGACAGTTGACGCTATTCCCGCCCTTTGAAGTACTTGACAGCGTAGCTCGTAGCCAATCGGCGTTGTGCATATGGGTGTTCAAAAACGGCAGATTAGCAACGAATGTGTCGCCAAGTTGAAGACCTTACTGCGGGTCCGCATTGAAAACCCGCGTATGAAGCTCGGTTTGATGCACCTAGTAACAATATCCAAGGTGATGTGGCTTATATCCGCTCAGAGAGAGTTACATTTAACATACATAATCACTAACAGTATTACATACCAGTATTTACACATACATATTAAAATTAATCAAAGGTTTCATTATTACGTGTCTGTGCGTTGTTCAGATGTACGTCTGCCCTGTCTAATATCGATTTTACGTCCATCTACGTCGTATGTTTTTTAGTCCGTATGTTTTTAACAGATCTCAAGTACCGTTTACTGCTCAGTACAAGCTTGCACAACAGCAGGGATCGCTGCGAAACTGCTCTCCGAGCAGTAAATAAAATTATCTAGAAATTAAAAGTTCTTCTGCCTCGTAGGGTGTCTCCCGTTTGGCCATTTTCAGCACTTCGCCATTTCACCATTTCGGCCCATTTCCCCAACATTGTCAG